TATATATATATATATATATATATATGTATGTATGTATGCACACGCATATGTGTGTATGTATTATATATATGTATATATTAATGTGTATATATTTATATATTTTATTTATAAATATGTATATGTGTGTGTGTGTGTGTGTGTGTGTGTGTGTGTGTGCGCATGCGTGCGTGCGTGTGCGTGTGTGTGTGTGTGTGTGTGTGTATGTGTGTGTGCGTGTGTGTGTGTGTGTGTGTGTGTGTGTGTGTGTGTGTGTGTGTGCGCATGCGTGTGCGTGTGTGTGTGTGTGTGTGTGTGTGTGTGTGTGTGTGTGTGTGTGTGTGCGTGTGTGTGTTTGTGTGTGTGTGTGTTTATGGATGGATGGATGGATGGATGTATATGTGTCTGTATATGTATGTTTATATGAGTGTGTGTGTTTATATATTTATGATAACTACATTGTTATTATTATTATTATTATTGTTGTTACTATTATTAATGTCGTTATTGTTATTATCAATATTATTGTTATTATCACCTTTATTATTATAATACTGATGATAATAATGATAATGATAATAATTATTATTGTTATTATAAATACTATTGTTATCATCGTCATCATAGTAGTAGTAGTAGTAGTAGTAGTAGTAGTAGTAGTTGTGGCAGGATTTTTATTATGGTTGTTATTTTCTTATTACTATTATTATTTTTGTTGTTATGATATTATTAATAATAATGATTGTTGTTATCATCATTATCATTGTTGCTATCACCTTCATTGCTCTTTGTTATCACTACGACCATTCTTATATATTTTCTGATCATGAATATCAGTTCTTTTGGATTTTTTAATTTGTCTTTAACGACTTAATTTGACATCTCTCTTGTTCAAAACATATTTCTCACTCCCCAAATGTGCATCATGCCTTGTTTTAATTCTCGTCAACAAAACTCACCCGAAAAGTGCACTTATACGTTTGTGTGATAACAAAAGTGTTTCTTTAAAAGGTTATGTGTATACCTGTTCTTTTATCAAGAGACGAAGATGGCCCGTTGCTATGTTAGGTAATGTGGCCAGGCTCGGGTTCCAGTACAAAGTGGAACCAGTACCAAAGCATCGAGAAAAAGGGTCTGTACACCGATTTTATGCTGTTTATTTCGTGTAAGCACAAATATGCAGAGTTTTTTTCCTTTCTTGAATTTTCGATTACGGAAGCCAGTAGTTATGGCCCGATATGGAGGCGAATTCGGCTGATTGTTGGTAATGGAGGGAAATTTGGCTAATTTGCGTTATTTTCAAGGATAGTTTGTTTATTTTAATATCTATGTTATTTTTCATTCCTAATGGCTTAGCTTCATTGTTGTTTGTATTTACAATGAAAATGTGTGCGGTCAGTATTGCAGCTGCATTCATGGGCAATCTGTTACAGGCAATACATATAATCTGTTGCTCGTGCGCCCCAGCGGAATGGCGTGACTAGGAAAAATACGTCTCCCCTGCGTTCGAGGTCGACCGAGGTCAAACAAAGCGTTCCTTACCGCCCGGCGAAGGCGCTGATTCCCCGTCATTATACCTGCTAATGCCATAACAATGCGCAATTCACTCCCAAATAACCGCTTGCTAGACACGCCCTCTGCGGCCCCAATTTGTCCGTGAAAACCAGTTCCTTCGGTCATGATCTGACTTAGTGGGAAGATGAAGAGCTCGGGTCAGCGCCGGACAGGTGGGAGGGAAGAAGAGGTCACGGGCGGCGCGCGGGCTAGGCGGAACTGCAGGGAATTATAACGTGTTGGTTTTTAGCAGCGTTGGACTGGGGTTCTGTACGGTTGTTGTTGGTTCTTCTTTGGCTATTTCGTTTAGATTTATTCTTATTTGCTAATCATTTGTAAAGAAATTGATATCTGGAGTTGTTATATCGAGAGAGAGGATGGGATGTTCTTACAGGGTGACGGCAAAGATCTTACATGTGATGAGCAACGCTTCGTGACACAGTCCATCGTACGCCTTGTGGCCAGAATCCCTGTATGTCACAGGTACGATACACGCGCGCGCACACACACACACAAACACACACACACACACACACACACACACACACACACACACACACACACACACACACACACACACACACACACACACACACACACATACACACACACACACTCACACACATACACACACACACACACACACACACACACATACACACACACACACACACACTTTTCTTCATTTTATTACAAGGAATCATGCCATCGCAAAAAATACCCAACCTTATCACGCCGCACCGCAGTGATAGTAAATAACGCCCCTGTCAAGATAGGGCACATTGCAGTCACACTTCGGAGTGGCAGCTGCATATCGCCCCCTGTATAAGGTTCTAACGACATCGCGCGGTCTATAGGGCGCTCTGAGCGAAAACACTTGAATGATTCAAAGGTTTCCTTGTTTGGCCGCCGACGAGCTTTGATTTCAACTCGAGGTGTTCAGTGTTGCTCTTTCCCCTTCGCTTCGGCGTTGGTCCCCTTCCCCGTGAATCAGTGTCTTCCTGTCCCTGCCTGCCTTTACTTCGTGTCCTCTCCTCGCATGGTT